TGGATGCATATCGTTATATCTTATGATTATCACAACAGTAAGTGACTATAAATATTTTGATTATTTTCTATTCAGTTTTATTACTAACGATTCATTGTATTTAGAATATAGTCAAATGAATTGGTCAAGATTCTAATGCTTACGTTTCCAGTGAGACATAAAGATAATACTTAAAGCGTCAGACACCAGGAAATTATTCAATAAAATTTCATAAAGTCATATTGTTAAAATGTTTTCTAAAATGTAATTACATGTTTCGTTTTTTAGTCTTGATCAAAAATTGAAAATGTATTTCTACTTTTCCCAATGATGAATAGGTTGAGGACGGACAAGAATTGCTTAACTATCAATGCTTTCAAATGTATAACTGATACATTCAAACTGTTTTTTTACTGTAAATTCAATTGACTTAGCTTCGCATTATTAGACTGATCTTAAAATCAATACCATTCAAATAATTATTATGATCATTTTTTTCCTTTTTTGGCATAGATTAGTTAAAAGATAAAAATTTACTCCAACTGAAATATATATTCACTAATTATTCAACTAAGCATAGATAAATCATTGTAAGAATAGATGTATTATTCTCACAACATTTTGTAGCATTATCCAATTACCAAGATTTTTTAGTTTTATTGTGACCATTTAAATAGTTAATCATAACCATAGCAAGCTTACAGATTATATTAAAAACTAAACTTGTGAATAGCCTTATACACTGGATTGCAAGCATATATTATTAGTACGGCTGATTAACCACTAGGCAGTGATCATTGTTATATTTCCCTGATTTTTTGACACTGATCAAATTCTGTATATTAATATGCAGTATGATAACTCAGCAGAGTGTGCTGACCAATATCACATGGCATGAAACTTACATCTAGAGGTTCTTCTCGACTACCTCAAACCACCCAATACACTTGTGAACTGTTCCAAATAAAAATTCATAGACCCTTAATACAAAATAAAAAAACCATCTATACAAGAAAAAGTTATAATTGTTTTCAAGTTTATTCAGGTTAGTTAGTTTGAACGTTTTCAAGAAAATAACAGTGAGATTTAATATATACAGTTCTTCATGAAAAATAAAAAGTACGCTACATGTCATTCTATAATTTATGGAAGGTAATAAGTTTTATTCATTTTAAATAAGCTGTTTCTGAATTTTGTGTAAATACCTTAAGAAATAAAAAATGATATCGCATACATTTACCATACTTCTGTTATGTCCCCGTCGCCAATTCTTATATCCATGTCACCCACGACTTTCACATGAAACCCTTACAGTTTCCACAAAAGATTGGTGAAAGTGACGATTTATTTACTCCAAAATGCGACGACCCTAATCAAAAATACACCTATTATTATGTTGATTTATACACCTATTTGATTATTATGCAATTACAAGAAAACAACATTATGAATGTAGTTTATGTTCATTTAATACAAACAATAAACATATCTTAAATAAACACTACTGTTATACCTGGAAGTTTGTTCTTGATATACCGCGTATAACGTGAGCACTAGAATGCCAGAACCTTTTCAAGTCGCAGTGAAAAGACAGAAGATTAATGAAAGGAATATTATCGCCAGACAGTGTCAAATTATGCTACAAAATTGTCACGTATTTATGGTTTTTAGTAAGAACAAAACCATCATTACAGTCCTCCAATCCACATACAGGGGGTTATTAGCATTGTACAATCAGGAAGCTACACGTGGGAATTCTAGAATATTCTTCTAAAAGGTGATTGGATGTAATATTTTCGGCTTCTTCTGAGCCCCCTACAGCTTCCTCGAGTTCACCTGTGATCCGTCGTCACAACTACATTGAAATAAATCACTGTTATAATGAATAAGATATCACATTAAAAAAATAAAATTAATATTAAGCTAAATAGTCATCATATTCACTTAAATACAGAAGAAATGTTGAACCAGAATCATACTAAATTAAAAATGTAATTTGGTTTATTTATTTTGTCAATATAAACTTTCTCTTCATAAACCTACTTATGTTGATTATTTTAAAATTAATGATCCATTTATTATTCACTTATTGTCAGCATTTATACATATATATCATCATTCTGAAAAACAATGTTTTATAAAACACTCATGTTTTCAGAAGGGGTTTTGTGGAGATTTTAGAAATTTTACTGGTTGAAATCATGAGTCAATTGAAGCTGGACCATCACGGAAAACCTGGAAGCACTGGACGGCTAATTCATTCTAGTATGGGACCCCTCAGTAGTGTCCATCTACGATTCCGTACGCAGGTCTCGCACTCAAACGTTAACACTGTCATTTGTGCAAGACAAATCTGGAAGTAATATATGTGGTACTGGTTTTTTTCGTATATTCTAAGATACAGAATGCTTATTTTGAGTTGATTCAAAGTAGTTATAGACAGATTTACACTGTTATTCATATCATCAAATATCAATATAGAAGTTATAATATCTGTTCTCTCCCGTTAGTCGACTTTTATTAGTTGCATTACGATATCGTCACTAGTGTAAGTGACTCAATGGCATTTATATTTTAAACAATAATAAATTTTTTACTATAAAACGACTGATTCACACAAATATCTTATTTCTACAAATGACCAGTCAAAGAAAAAAGTCTTCGTTTTAACACAAAAGTTTCTCTCTTCCTACTCAATTGCGAAATATCATTTACAACTTTTAATAAAAAGTTCATGTCCAGATTTTTTTATTTTAAGTTATGTGGGTGTCGACCTACTTAATAACATCAATCAATCAACGGATATGATAAACTGTACATTCTTTGAGTTGATGTAGTGACAATAACATGAAACATACCACTTATGATCTAGGAATACTTGGTGACTAGAATTTACTCTTATCTAATCACACAACTTTATTAATTTTAAACAACTGATGATATTTACCATATAGACTTATTGGTGAGCTATCATGTTTTCATTTACTACCTGGAAATGTAACTAATTACTTACTTACGCCTGTTACTCCTAATGTAGCATGAGCCGCCGTCCAGCACTCTGCAACCCACTCTGTTAAGTGCTCGCGCGCGAAGCCAGTAGGTCCTGGGTTCGAATCCCGCGGGGTGTGGGATCGTGGATGCGCACTGCTGAGGAGTCCCATACTAGGACGAAGTGGCCGTCCAGTGCTTCCAGGTTTTCCATGATGGTCTAGCTTCAACTGACTCATGATTTCAATCTGTGAAAATAATTGATAGTCTTTTCTAAAATCAGCTTCTTTCTTTCAATATTTGAATAAACTATTTATGAGATGATTTCAAGTTAATTAGATATTATTCTTAATATCATATAACGTTCATTATCCGATCATTTTCTTTAATCATAAACGATCAAAGAATACTGGGAATATAATAAAGATGTAGAAATACAAATGGCCTCTTAATTTTTATCTACAAAATCATACAGTATCACTATCATAGAAACATATATTTTACTGATATCAAAACACCAACTGCCATTTTGTTCATAAATCTCAATGATATTTACTTGAATCCTTATCAACTAAATAATAAATATATGTAAACGAATTTAAATCATTTCGATTGAATTTATATAATGATCTTAAAATATCTCAAACAATTTAAATATTAATTGTTGAGATCATAAGTCAGTTGAAGCTAGATCACTACGGAAAACCTGAAAGAACTGGATGGCCGTTTCATCCCATTGTGAAACTCTTCATCAGTGTGCAATGTAATTGTTTGAATGTTAAAAATACAAACGTACCTCTTTCATCTTTTCTTCTAATATACCTTGTAAAACCCTTTTTTAAAAAGTATATATACTATTAATAACTGACAAAATCTATAAAACCAAAAAAATTATTTCAACTTTTCTCTCTCAAGTGGTTTATACTTATAGTAACAAGAAGAAAAAAATAATATTGATAATTGTCTAACTATTTCATCCATTCATTTTTCACTCTCTCTAATCGAAAATAATTATTTTAAACAAGTAGTATGTTAAAATACGCTTTTCTTTAAAAATATATTCTAATATTGTAATGTTCAGTTTAATATTTCGTTTTAAATGATCAATTTATTGAAGAATATTAAACGTTTAGAAAAAAAGGAGGGTAAAAGTAGAATAATAAGTTATTGTTTTTTTGTTGTTGTAAGTTTCATTTTCATAATTTATATTGATAATTCATGAAATGGAAGCAGTCAAAGTATTTCACTAGGATGTAATATATGAATATGTGAAACAAACAGTTAAAAACAAAAAACGAACTATTCGGGCGTCATTTGCACATTGCTGAAGACAATTCAATCCATGTTCACAAACCTAGTCTTTGAATCCAAAATATGTTTGTACAACCATGCTCGCTATCTGGCCCATCGGCATAGTGGAGTTCGTAGCAGAACTTTGATAAACTATTCTCACATTTTCTCCATTTATTGTAATTTTTGTATTTTACTGATTCTCAAGATTTGTTCTCTTGATTCTTACGTAACTACTATACTCACTGACCGTTCATCAAAATATTCTACTAGTTCCTTCTCTTATATGCATATATATATATGTATATTATGTAACGTAGCATCTGCTTGGTTTTCGAATAATTACTTTGATTATTAATCCTCTTTCTTCCAATTACTCAGTCTTAATTTATAATTGATATATTATGTAATTATTACGTAACGAATCCACTCAATGAGTATTATTTCCTTATTGTAACATATATATATATAAGTGTAGAGCCAGGATGAAGAACTAGTTGAAAAGAACTTTCTTCTCTTGATTCATTACTTCTTTACTTACCAAATGTCAAAATGGGAAATTTCACTTTCAATAAAAATAAAACAATGATGAAAAAGGATAATACACACAACTTACTATAATCATGTTTGAACATAACCAATGAAACTGTAGTTTTATTTTAACCAATCATCTATTACTCTCACATTATATATTCTCAATTTTTTTAAAAAAATTTTCTAAGTATTACACAAATATGTTACTAGTTCTTTTTAAAACACTCTAGAAAATTTTATTTCATGTGAAATTGATCATTAAAAAGGAACCAAAATAAAATAACTTTAAATGTTTTTAATTTCTAAATTATACTTTAAATGTGCAAAAAATGTTTAATTGGAATAATTATTATGCAATCATTGATTTCTACTTGTGCTCAGTTACAAGATCATGTAATACTTTGGGATGCTAATAACTGGAGGTAACATGTTCTAACGTGTTGTTTTTTTCTTTTTTTATTTAAATTAGGAATTCGATATTTAAACTTGATGAAACTATTCATATAACTTAAATGTAAAACGCATTAGTTTGAAATTCATATCAAATCTGTATAACCTTAGTTTGATATACATCATATTATAATATAAATTATAGTTTAGTTTCTAGGTTGTTTTGATTAAGATTAGCTTATGTTATTTTATTGTCTCCAAGTGAAACTAATACACAAAATGGTAGAAAATTAAAAAAAACTGAATTTGTCTCAGCCAACCCGTAAAGAAGAAGATATAATATTTTCTACTCAACAAATGCAATTGAATTTCAAGGGTTGAGATGACGAGTCAATTGAAGCTAGACCGTAATGGAAAACCTGGAAACACTGGATGGTCGGTTCGCTTCATTGTGGGACTCCTCAGCAGTGAGCATACACGATCCTGCCTCGCGAGGTTCGAACCCAGAACCTATCAGTGTCGCGCGCGAGCGCTTAAACACTAGACCACTGAGCCGCATCCAACGTTGTTAATGTCTGACTTTAACTTATCCACCAAATTGAGCTGCACATCCACCATTGTCTTCAGTACTTTACTATCTCACAACAGAGCTGGTTAAACTCTACTGGTCACCGCTTCTCACTATGACTCCAGGAACTACCTCTTGAATTGACTCATGATCTCAACCATTGAAATTACTACATTATCCACAAAATCCCTTATGAAATGTAACTAAAGTTTAAAATTACTTTTTCAGGTGTAATAAAGCCTATTAATAACTATTGAACTGGGAATATATATCTAAAATCTAAGTAAAAAACATCATTAGATAGTATTTAAAACATTTTATTTAACCATAAACTTGAATAATGTGATGAAAAATAATATAATACTTTTAGGATAAGGTGAAAATCGCTAGGTTTTGCTATAAACTAAGTAAAAAAAGTTTAATTAGAGTGCTCTTAAATCTGCCGTTTAATGGTTGCATTCAGTACTAATGCCAAAAATACATTTAGTTGTATCCAGTAGGTTTAGTTGTTGAAATGTTTAGACTTTACCGATCTATTAAACAGCATATTCTTTGTTCATTGAGTCTGTCCTGGTTATAAATAACGCAGTTTTATTAATATACGTTACATGTAACATTATTGTTATCATTCTTTATTGCAGTCCGATATTTAATTTGATCATAATTTGTCTAAAATACGTCTTAATAAAACAAACTTTATTTGTTTCGAAATCTTCGAGTTGATCAGTATACATTCAACAGTTTTATTACTCTGCGTTTAGAAACCCATTGCTAAAACGTATAGTATCACACTACATGACTATGTTCAGACATTTACTCGACTTCATACAGTTAATAAATTTAATTTGACCATCAAAAACTGTCATTTTTAAAGCTTAAACGATTAACGAATAATAATTTATGGTTTAAATAATTGACCTAAAATAATAAGTTATCGTTGACCCAAACTTGTTTCTAGTGTGTTGTTCTAGTAGGTTGTTTGAAGCTATCACGAGTTCTCTTAATCGTAGGACGAGAACAAGACTCGGTGATCAAAGACCAGTAAGCTAGCTATTGATGAGTCCCAGCCCCGCTAACTAGAGGGAGAAGTCAAAGGTTGAAATGGAAAGTATATTCCGCAAAACAGCCAGAAACGAGCGATAACAACAAACACAATTCAAAACGTATATATACAGTGCAAAACTGTCCTGGAGGAGAGTTGCCAAGTAGCATATTAAAAGACGTAACGGGCCAATAGCATTTAAGGTATTTCCCAGTGGGAAATACGACATGAAGGTAAAAGAGCGCCTTTGGCGCGAAAACAAACAAATTCAAATTTTCTAAATAAATTACAAAATGAGGTCCTTCCTCAAGTGGGTTCTGGAGATCTAACGTCCCCAACATAAATACAATTTGATTCTATAAAACTTAATTGAATAGTTTGTTTCCTTATTGTAAAATTTTATATTTCCACCATGTATATCACAATACCGCTTGAAGATAGTTCTACTTTAATTCTATCACTGAAATTATTACTACTCTATTCACGATAATGTGTTCGTTCAACATTCGTCCGTGTTAAACTTGAAGTATATTTGTGTAAACACGAAATTGCAAAAAGATTAATAAGTTTAATAAAATAAACAAATAAAAATCATGAATACACAATTCTGTTTCAGTTCAACCGAAACATTATTCAACCTGAATTAAAGCTAAAAAGCTTTGCTGTAATTTGATGTGTTAAATGTTAATTTATACAGTTAACAAGTGATTTCTAAATAAAGTATTGTAATAAAAAAGTACCATAGTAAAACAAGCGTGTCTCCCGTTCAGTTTTAACTATATGACTTTTCTAAAAACAATTACAACAATATTTGTATGGGGTCTATTAGTAGTAGATGAACGAAATAGACACTAAGATTAAATCGCTGAAAATGTACTTGACATTTTTGGTATTTAAACTAACCTATCTCTTTAAACTCGAAAATACTGACCAAGGTGTTACAATGTATATATAAAGTACCAATACAAATACCATGATATTTTATTGTAAGAATCGTAATTAATAAACGTCTTCGCAAAGAACACTATATGGTATGAATATTTTGGGTCGAAAATCTTGTATTTCATTTTGTTGAATTTAAATACAAGGATTCTAGGCTTGCAGCATTAGGTTGCATAGACAAACAACTCGGTTTGATACATAAATATATGCGTTGACGTAATATAGGCGTTTATACACTTCACATTGCGGCATATGTAACATTCTATATATCCATCATTATTAAAACAATTACTTTTACCGTTATCGTAACTGGTTATTTTTTAAAAATGATGATTATACTGTTTGTCCATAATCAACCTCAGATTAATAAACTTTTGGATTATATTTGTTAAAGAATACATTCCTATATTTTTTTCTTGTTTCATCATTCGTTGTACGTATAATGTGTATTAATTTTTTCTCGGTTGTAAAGATATTCTTTAAAAAGGTTGCAAATAATAAAATCTGAATTCATATCTATGATTTCATGATGATTTTCTAGTCATGGATATCCTAATGATCAATACTTAACCACAGTGCAATGGCCCCCAAATGCACAATGCCTCAAATGCCCTGGTACGGCCGAGAGTGGGGAGAGTCCGCTCTCCCTCTCGAAATGCTCTCACATGGCCACGCGTAGATAGCCTCTGCCAGGGAAGTCCTACTCGCTGCCTTCTCGTGGCGGGGGTGTTGTTTACAAAAATGAGAGGACGAAAAGCGAATGTCCGGCGCTTTAACCGGATTTCAAATCACTGTTGCACATGGGCTCCAGTATCCTGCGGAACAAATGGCGTATGAACCAGTTGTTGGTCGCCGGCTTCCATGGGACTGCATCTCCTTACGATGCTCCACTGCCTTGTGGATCAGATCTTCAGGTTGAAGGCTCGGGGAGTGGCCCCCTAAGAAAACCATCTGCTTCGGTTTGGGCACCCGGGCAGTATTACAGCCCTAACACATATCGAATCACATTTGTGTGGCGCATATGTATTTGGTGCCTCCTTGTACCAATATCTATGTGTTAAAATAAATAAAATAAATAAATAAATAAACAGTGCAATGAATATTTCATATAAAAATAAAAAAATGAGTATTCTAGAAGTTTATTACAACTTTAGATTTGTTTAGGTTATAAAGTGATTTTATCCATCTTGGTCTCAATTGTTTATGAAAACTTTTGTTTTCTTTTTGATTTTCATGAATCAAAAGCTTCCGATCAAAAATTATAAAAACCTAATTGTTTTATTAAATGCAATTGGTTGTCAGAATTTTTCTAGACCGAACTTATTTTCAGAAAAATAGTCAATTAAAAAATAATCTACTTGTCATTATACTTTATATTATACTCTGTTGATTAACAAAAAAACAAAACAATGAATACTTTAGTTTACCCATTCATGCAAATTAGAATTATTCCATTCAACCTTTGCTAATAATATTTAGAAATTTAGCAAAAAATCATGATATTACCTTGATTCTTTTGAATACTGACAATATGACCATAATCAATTATGTGTCTGTCTGTCGAAAGTAAGGATTTTGGTATTTAAAGTAAACTTGAAATCTCAACGTTCACCTAGTCCAGTATTTAAATGTCTACAATTGAAATCTTCATTTTTTTAAATAACTTATACAGATAATCATGATTAGTTAGAATATCTGGAGGTAATATGTCTACAACAGTCAGATATTTCAAGTATTTATGCCTGAGTTCAATCTATGTCATAATTCAATAGTTATTTTAGAATATTATGATTTTCATAAATCATAAACCACTTTTTGTCTTAAAAAGGTAATTCACTATATTTATCGTTGAAATCTATGTATTTCACTATAAACCATAGTCATTTGTAAGTGATGTGACGCACTTGAACAGTTACTTCATGTAAACATTTGCAAAGGAGAAAGAACGCTTTTCATTTTTTTTTCTTTAAAAGTATTTATTATGCACCGTTAAATAGATGGTTTTGATAAATTATGTAATAATGAGCTGAGTATATCCTAAAAATGGAAATTATACTTGTTCTATCGACGAACCAAATATACATATAAAAATCATGCAATATAGTTTAGTCAGTCTCTGTCATTTTATTTCATATTAGAAATATAAACATGCGACTTTGTTAAATAAATAATTCAAATAATTTTAGAATTTTTTTCCAAATTTACAACAATCTGTATAAGTCAGAAACTCATGAAACAGATGGTTTTACAGTTTACATTACTTTTGTTGAGAAACATTCTGACCAAAGACTACATAAGAATATGTAGTAGTAAATTTATGATTTTTTTAAATAAAAATTTGTTATTGAAAAGAATATGAAATATCAATAGTTGAAATCACGAGTCAGTTGAAGATAAACCACAATGGAAAGCCTGTAAGCACTGGACGGCCGTCTCGTCTAATTGTAGGACCCGTGAGGAAGCGAAACTGATAGGTCCTG